AGAGAGAGAGAGAGAGAGAGAGAGAGAGAGAGAGAGAGAGAGAGAGAGAGAGAGAGAGAGAGAAAGTGTATTTATTGCTTACTTTTTCTGTGTTGTTTGAAGCCAGCTACCATCCAACGAATCAAATGATTCCGTATCATTTCACCGACCTCGAAGTTGTTTATTTTTTTTTTTATTTAAAGCAACTTCTAAAGCTCAGCCACAACACAATCACCATTGCCATTTGCCGTGTATTTTAACATAAATTCAATTTAATTTGAACATTTTATGGTGTTGCAATACCGAGAAATGCAACGTACACTTTTCTTCTGGTTGCCGCTGCTGCTGCCGTTGCTGTTCCATGGGTGAGTGTTATTCGAACAAGCGCAATTTTAAAAGTTCCAAACCATGCACAAATTTCGGAAAACTGTTTTGCAATCGGGAGGAATAGTGGGGAGAAAAATTGGCCACGGCTCATGGGCTAATGGAAATAGTTTGGCATAAAGATTCAATACGAAAAGTTTTTTTAGCCATTTGTTTGGTTTGTAATGGTGTTTCATATTTGCGCCAAGTAATAATTTACAATGGGTTCATTTGTAATGCTCTCGTAAATACAATATTGGGCGAATGTTTTTTTTTCGGCAGCGCTTGGTTTGGATGCCACTTTGTGTGTGTGTGTGTGTGTGTGTGTGTGTGAGAGAGATAGATGAAAAAAAAAAGTGCGAAAGGGAGAGGGAGAGAGAGACAGAGAGAGTTGAATAGGTACAGCATGCGGTTCTCGGAAGTCCATCGTACAAGTGCTTTGCACTCATTATCGAATTCGAGCGGCCAGAACGCAACGAATATTGATCTGTACTAATTGAAATGGAATCAAAATCACAGTAAAAGTCATCCACTTTCCCATGTATACAAGTTGTCTGCACATGCAATCGACGACAACGATGAAGAAAGTCACTTGACCAATTCGGAAGCGAAAATACACACTGTGAATGGCTCGCAGAAGGACGTAATTATATTAACGTATGTGTCAGAAGTTTCAAAAAGTTTTATCAGTTTCTTTGCGCACACTTTTTTTTTGTCCCACAAAACTCCTTCGTATTCCGTGTCTAGTGCAGTCATAGCTCTCGATCGCATGTCCTTGTGATGCGTGGCATTTTCGATAGAAAAAGGAAATTTCTCTCAAATGAAAATATAATACTCTCATTTGGCACATCGCTGTTCCACAGAATATATGACGTAATTTTTCAACGTTAACTACAATTTATTCAATTTCTCGCAACTTTATTGGATATTTTCTTGTTTCTAGTTGCTACATGTTTTTCATTTATTGAGTTTTCCGAATTGTTCACACACACACACACACATATCGCTTTTTATCCACAGTGAAAATAAACTTTCCAAGCATTTTGTCATGGTAACAGACAACAGTAAATACTTGTGCGACTCATTGTGCAAAGGATTCCTTTCGGTTGCTTTCAATGTGAGAGTGTGTGTGTGTGTTGTTTTTTTTCTGTATTAAATACCCATGTGAATGGTGAAATGTTTGCCGTTAATGTTGCATTCTGAATGACTTGTGTGTTCTACATTACGTTTGAATGAAGTAGAAAGAGGAAGAAAAAAGACAAAGAGTTGTCTATTTGTTTTCATTGCAAGCAATGCATTTGCCACCCATGTTCATTTTATCGAAACTTCAGATGAAAAAAAAGCGTCACTGATTTATTTTTATAGTTGCATCAAATAGTTTTACATATGTAAAGTCACACACACACACACACACACCCAATGGATCTTATCAATTTGGAATAAATTCTTGTATTGATTACGGTCCGTGTGAGTATGTGTGTGTGTGTGCGTTAGCAGAAGTAGTGAAAGCCGGTAGTAAATTCAAAGTGCATCCAAAGATAATTTAAATTCTATAGAAAGTTATTTTACAAAATCTTTGATAACAATTTTTCGAGAGGATGTACAAAAAGTTTTTCGGATGATGTGTTTTTATGCAGAAAACTGTTCAGAAATTAGCATCACAAAATGCTAAAGAGAAATGAGAATGTTGGCGGTGATAGAAGGGAACAGAGTCAGTCGGGTGTGAAAGCAAAAAAAAGTCAAAACACATGCATCAAATGAAAAATGAGCGAACTAAGAATTTGCATTTTGGGAATGGTAGAATGGGGTGGCGGTGGCGAGTGTGCATTGTACAATGGCATCTTATTTTGTACAATGCACAAGAGCGAGTGTGCGAATAAAATTTATGACTGCTCATGGGCTGAACTAAATTAAAAAGGGAGCGAGATAGAGTGAGTTAATGGAGAGCGAACGATAGAGTCAGTTAAAGATGAGATCGAGAGAAATGTGTGAGGGTGAGAGAAAGAGTAAATGAGCAGGCGGTGGAAGGTGGCATTTGGATGGTGGTATGGAACACAGTGACAATAAGTACATTTCTCTTATCAAATATAGCGCTGGTCATCAATTTACGCAGCGAAAAAAACAACTGCAAATGCACATGAGCGAGACGCGAGCGCATCAAGTTTGTTGAATTATTCCAAAAACACACGTCGTGAACCAGACAGAAATGAACCCGTGAGCATAAAAACAACGTATTGACTCTTCGCCGATGAATACGAAACGCAAAAAAATCGCCGAACAAAGTGAAACACCAATCTGTTATTGGATCAATATGAAGCATGAAATCGTTGGCTACTATTTTATTCACGTTGCGCTTTGTTTCGAAGCGCGGCAAGTGTTTCATTTTGTTCCAGTAACAGAACGTTGTATCACTTTGTTCGGCGACGCGCTCAATGTACTGTTTTGGAAAAATATGCATGATTTGATACAGTTTTGAGTCCATTGGTATGATGATTCATTTTAACACAACACCCATTCTATTTCGCTCACACTTACGTGCACTTTAACGTTGCTGAAACATGTACGTTCTTGTTTCTTTACTGCGCACATCTTTTTAACAGTGAAGCAGACTACTTTGTTATACGGGTAAAAATTGCACGTAAGTGTGAGCGAAATAGAATGGGTGTTGTGCGTCCGTGTTTTGGCCATGTATAGATTTCACTATATAAACCAATGTATTCACAGCGGCGTGAACCCGCGTTCCGAGGATTTCATACAAACTTCCCATGTAGACGATCCGAAATAGGCAACAGTCGAAAAAAAAAGTTTTTTTCGATTTTCATATAGTATTTTTTTCTGCTCTATTGGTGTTATCGGCACATCGAAATTCGCGCTCCTTATCAGTTAATTTTCACTTCATAGACAAATCACGACCAAAACCACCATTAAAATGAATCATCATACCAATGGACTCAAAAGTGTATCGAACATTTTTGTTTCAATTAAAGTGAAACACAATTTCTATAGTCAGCCGATATTTCACGATTCACTTTCAAGCGAACAGAATTTATGTTGCACTCGCACAAAACTGTATCAAATCATGCATATTTTTTCAAAACAGTACATTGAGCGCGTCGCCGAACAAAGTGATACAACGTTCTGTTACTGGAACAAATGAAACACTTGCCGCGCTTCGAAACAAAGCGCAACGTAAATAAAATAGTGGCCAACGATTTCATGTTTCATGTTGATCCAATAACAGATTGGTGTTTCACTTTGCTCGGCGATTTTTTTGCGTTTCGTATTCATCGGCGAAGAGTCAATACGTTGTTTTTATGCTCACGGGTTCAAATGACATCATGAATATTCACAAGTTCGCTCCGTCAAATGACGAAGAATTATTTGCATGAAACACCAAACGAAATGGTTTTCTTGTCGTTTTTGCATTTTGTTTGAGCGTCATTTTCCTCTTCCCAGTCACTTACATTTCCCGTCAACTGCGTCGTCTTCATCGTTGTTGTCGTCTATTTATTTCGATCTTTTCATTTTGGTCGCTGTTGGAAAACGCACACAGCACTCAGCACATTTCTTCATATTCTTTTGCTGCTGTTGTTGTTTTAACGCACTGCCACCGTGTACATCAAACATTGACGATGATGAGCATTCGACTCAATTCCCAAAAGCATCACAAA